AAGTGTCTGATGCCCTGAAAATGTGTCTGCACCCCTGCTTGTTCTGATTCCTTTCAGGAGTGTCCCTCCTGCATGACTGAGCTGGAGGTGTGCAGTGGGTAGGACTCTAGTGTCCCCCCACCTCCACTCTGTCATCTCCAACAGCTCCTCTCAGGACATTTTCTGATGGGCAGCTCTGTTAGCTCTGGTTTGTAATGCTGTCATAGTTACTTTTCCTGTTGCCATGATAAAGCACTCTGACTATAGGGCGAGAGATAGCTCAGTGGTAAGAGCTCTGGCTGCACCTCTAGAGAATGAGGGCTAGAACTCCCAACTGCCTGTCACTCCCAGCCTAGGGGATTTGTGACCCTCTTCTGGCCTCCATGGATACAAGGCACATATGTGGTATTCAGACATACACATGGATGGAACATTCATAAGAAAATACTTGGCGAAAGCAGCGTAAGGAAGAGTATGTTTTGGCTCACAGTTCAAGACCACAGTCTACCGTGTTGGGGAGCTTGGTAGTCGTGTTGGCAGGAGCTTGAGGCATTGCACCTGCAGTCAGGAAGCAGAGGATGAGGCACACTATGCTCAGCCAGCCTTCTCCCCTTTGGTGGTGTCCAGGAATGGTGCTGCCCATTTTGTGGGGGAGTCGTCCCATCTCAGCGTAACCAAGACAATCCCAAACATTCATGGTCAGAGGCTAACCTACCCAAATAATCTCTCACAGATGTGCTTGGAGGTGTGTCTCCTAGGTAACTGTAGAGTCTGTTAAGTTGACCAACACCACCAAGCATTAGAGTTGGTGTGATAAAAAAAAAAAACACCACGGTAAAGTAATGTGCTGGCAAGAAGAGTTGTATTAGATAGTAGTTTGTCTGAAGGCTTGCAGTTGTGATGATTAATCTTGGTTATCGATTTCACACACCTAGGAAGAGGGCCCCTCAGTTCAAGAATTTCTTCCATCAGATTGGCCTATGGGGATACTTGTGTGTATGATGTAGAAGGACCCTGCCATGTCAGTAGTGTCATCCCCTGGCAGGCCTAGGCTGTTTAAGAAGACAGCTGAGCCTAGGAGCAAGCCAGTCAGCAGCATTCTCTGCGGTTTCTGCTTCAGTCCCTGCTTGAGCTCCCACGGGAACTTCCTCAGTGACAGACTGTGACCTGGAAGTGTAAGCCAAATAAGCCCTTTCCTTCCCCAGGTAGCTTTTGTTCAATGTCTTATTACAATGACAGGAAGCAAAGTGGAGCGTAGTCCATCGAATGGTGGTCAGAGCATGCTGCTGGGACTCCTCATGTCTAAGCAGGTTAGGAAGTAGGAGGGCAGGAAGTGGGGCTAGGATGTGATTATTAAGGCCCACCCCTTCTTAGAGTGCCATTCATCAAAGCTAGGCCTCACCTTCTAAAAGTTCTACCTTTCCTTCAAATGCATCCAGGTGAGGACCAAATGTTCAAACATGTAAGCTTATAGGAAGCTGTTAGCATGTGAATATATATGTGTATATTAATATATGTATACATATGTGTATATGTATATATGTATATATGTATATATGTATATATATATATATTATTGGGTTCTTATACCTCTCTTCCAACTTTTATTCCACCCTGATCCCTTCCAGTCCCATAACACTAGGTGGGAGAGAAAGAAGATGAGAGGGAAAGGGGAACGTAGACCTCCTTAGGCTACTTCCTACTGATTAGGGTTCTTGGGTTCCTGGGGCAAATACAATCTTCATCATCAGAATATCCAGCAGTCCAGCAATAGGAAACTAGCAAATGCAGCAGCCACTGGAGCAGCAGCCATCATAGGCTCTCTTAGGGCTCTCCCACTTATACACTCTGCAGAGTCCCCAGAATGAAACTGTCAGCAGCTGGCAAAAATCACATCCCTGCCAGTGCATGAGGCAAATCATAATCACCTGCTGTGAAGCAGCCTCTTACTCCACATCTGGGATTAAAACATACACATATTCATGTAACATAACTGGGGTTTATAAAGAAACCAAAATTCTCACTACAGGGAACATTTTACATCCAAGCTATAACTAGAACCAACTAGATCTCCCTGGCTTAGGGTCGGATTTCAGTATTTTCCTCGACAGCTTCAGGAGAGAGTCTGCTGTCTGATGGCAAGAATGTCACATGTACAGAGCCACTTGTTCAGAAGTTGCTTGCTTTGTTGCTTTGGTGGCTAGGGGGATGCTGAGTGTCTCTTGTCCCTGTGAGGGAGGTGGTCTGTGCACACACTCCCTGATGTACTTTCCTAAAGTTTTTCTTGCTTTAGCAGGAATTGTACGCTCATCTTCCACTCAGAAAGCTCTTCGGTCTTTGGGGAAAATGGTTAAAACAAACTACCCAGACATTTACATTAGCCTAGGCCTTCAACAGTCATGGCCATCGGTGCTACTGTCTTCTACTTCTAGACCAGTGGTCCTCAACCTTCCTAGTGCTGTGGCCCTGTAATACCGCCCCTCATGTTGTGGTGATCCCCCGGCCATCAGATTATTTCATTGCTACTTCATAACTGTAATTTTGCTACTGCTATGAATCGTAATGCAAATATCTGATATGCAGGATATCTGATATACGACCCCCAAAGAGGTTGTGACCCACAGGTTGAGGACCACTGTTCTACACCTTGTTCCATTGAAATGTCTTCAAGGCAAATGCCATGCATGGAGATGTCCCCTCCTACGGTAACAATTTCTTCTTCTTGAATACCCCCGAAAGCCCAGTTCGAAGCTGCCTTACAGTGAACTAATTTTTTTTCCAAGTAGAAATAGTAAACATTAAGAACATGATAAAAGTATAATGCAATAAGTATAATCCATTGTCACTATGCAGTATTATATACTGTACACAGTTATTTGTGCTACAGTTTTATGGGATGGCAGTACAGTGGGTTTGTTTATACCAGCACCACAGCTCGGGAGCAAGGCAGTGTGCTATGGCTTTACAGTGACTGCTGTACCTCTGGGAAACAGGACTTCTTCAGTTCTTTCATAATTTATTTTTTACTGTATCTCTCAGGCTGACCTTGAAATCCTAGGCTCAAGCAATTCTCTGCTGGCTGAGGTCCATTATCTCTGATGAGACTCTGTGGTCTGTCACTGACTGAAACGTCGTTCGGGGCTGTATCACTGTATCACTTTAATAATAACTAAGTCTCAGCCTATATAGAATGCTTACATACATATGTAATAACTAAATTCCATAGAGAGGAATTGGCTGACTTAGGAAAAATTGATAAATATGCAATCATGTGAGCTGTTGTATTCCTTTTTAAATAATTGGTAGATCACATACACACACATAAAAATAATAGTGAAGGTTTTAGTGACACATGGCAGGTTCAGTCATGTGGTCATAAATAAAACCTGTAGCCTATAGAGAATGTATAATCTCTTGCAATATATGAAACCTTAAAAACTCTGTTTTTCATATTTGTTCTTATATTTATTTCTCATTAAGTAAATCTCAAATTCAGATCATTTTCTTTGACCAAATGAGTCCAACGAGAGATAATAATGAGATCTCAGAGAAGGAAAGCCTATGTGTTCGACATTTGAAAACAATTAAAAATCCTTCAAATTACATAAGTCACAATGGAATTACCTAGTAACAAATGACTAGCAGGGTAAATAAGGCTTATAGAAAACATAGTACTCAGAATGAAATTGATATTTTTAAAGTTATGCGTTTTCAAAAGATAAACATTGAAAGTTCATGTTTCCAAGTAGAAAGAGCTAACAGAAAATAGAAAAAAGGAAAGCTAAGAATTGAAAGTATGACTGGGAATACACATCATCATTCCAACAGTGTGAGTATGAGTGACATATTGCTTCGCTCTGTCACCAACCTATCCCTTGGTTATAGGCATGAGTCTCCAGTTCTGTACCCTAGGCTACCCTTGAAGTTGAAGTCCTCTTGCCCCTGCCTCTGCCTACCAAGTACTGGCATTATGTGTGTGGGGTCCTGGGGTTAAAGTACGGAAGTGTGCATTACCATTCCTATGACACTGGTGACAATGTGGATGGTAAGCCTTGAGTTTTGGATAAATGTCACTTTGTCATGCTGAACAGTCCTTCGCATGTACTTCTGGATTTAATTTGCTAATGCTTTGTTGTGTTTGTCTCAGGCTATATGTTTGTCTCAGGCTTCTGTGAGTTTTTATTTTTATTTTTAAATATGATTTTAATGTCAGACTATTGCTGGCTTCATAAAATGTCATTGGATAGAAGAAGATGATATATCCTTATATTCTTTGGAAGAGCTGGGGAAGAACTGGTGTTCTTTTTTTAAAAGCAACGACAACAACAACAACAACAACAACAACAACAAAACACTTGGGAGAATTTACCAAAAAGCCACTTGAGGAGAATTTTTGTTTGTTTGTTTTTGTTTTTAAAGACTTTATGAATACACAGTAGCTGTGTTCAGACACACCAGAAGAGGGCTTCAGATTCCATTACAGATGGTTGTAAGCCCCCATGTGGTTGCTGGGAATTGAACTCAGGACCTCTGGAAGAACAGTCAGTGCTGTTAACCACTGAGCCATCTCTCCAGCCCCTAAAAGTTATTTTTTCTTTTCCTAATTCAATCTCTTTACTTATTTCAAGTTTGTTTATATTTTCTAGGGTTAGGTTTTTGTTGTTGTTGTTTTTAGTTTATGCTTATAGGAATTTGTTAATTTCATCTATTTTGTTGATATAAATTACTCTGTTTCCTTATTCTTTTTATCTTTGTACATTTAGTAGTAATGTCCTTTGTTTCTTGATTTTAGAGATTTTTTTAGTCTTTTCTTTTTTGTTTCGTTTTGTTTTGGGGACAGGTTTGTCAGTGGCCTTTGCAAGGTACCAACTTTAGGTCTTGTTTTCTGTCCTTTTGTATGTTTTTTATCTTACTAGTTACTGTTGCTTATGATTGAATGGAGTTGCAGTTTCTCTCCTTTTCTAGTTTTTGGAGGTAAATGTTTCACTTACTGAGTTGCTATTCTTCCTTGTCAAATGCAGGTGGTTTTACTGCGGTGAACTCCTGCCCTGCCTTCTGGTAGCTGGCTGCTGGTTCCCGACCCTGAGCTCTCAGTGAACCTGGGAAGGGGATGAGAACAGGGTAAGTTCAAAAGGCCTTCTTACCGTGTGCTGTTCTTACCACGATCTAGTTGTTGTTCTTGAATAAAAGACTCTTGCATTCCTCCAACCTTTCATTTCCAGAGTTCTTCAACAGGTAATTGGGGAGAATTTTACTCTGTTTATGTGGAAGAGAGGATGCTGAAAGCAATTATTCTCTTCCGTTTCCACTGGCATTAGCGACTTGCATAGAATTAAGAATTAATAAAAAGAATATGGTTACTAGAAGGCGTTTTATGGAAATGAATCATATGGCTTAGAAATATCACAAGGAAGAGAAGTGTATAGTTCGCTAGTGAATTTTGGAAAAGAATATAGTGTAGGACTGCTGATTACAATGTCAAACGTTCTAAGAGACTGAGGAAGTTAAGCCTGTGTAGAGGTAGTGGAGAGCCCGCTACGCTCAGAGCTTCTAGACAGGCTGGAGCCAGGCTCCTCTAAGGGAGGCTAGGCTATCAGAGAGGGTGTGCTGAGTGTCTGTATTCAGAGTGTGGAGGCCAGTGGTGTCTACAGCATTTCTAGCTGAGCATTCACAATGTTCTCAGCAAGATCAGTTTGTCCCTTGGGTCCGGGCCTGTAGTTGATGCTGAAGAAAGGGGTCTCTCCCGGAGAAAGCTTCCGGGCATCCGTCCATTGCTGAGGGAGAGAGCAGCTAAAGTTGCTATAGCATAGGGAGTTGAGAACCCCCAAGAAGATCTGTAGTCTTGAAGCAGAGGATATGAACAAATCTTTTGTTCCTAACCATGCCACCACATCTGGGAGTTAAAAGAGGGTCAGATTTGTAAGGTAAAACCTAGCACATGTCAGTGTTCATTCAGTAAAAGGAAACAGTGACCTGTAATGGTCAAGTAACGAGCAGATACAGCACCCACAGTTTGCCAAGAGAGTGGTGAGGAGTGGCAAAGGTTTTTAATATCCGAGAGTCCTGGAACTCTCATTTTTTTGTGTACTTTAAGATTCAATAAATTAAATATAAATACCAGCTTAAAATATGTGTCACTGTTAGTGAATTACTCTCTTAATACATCGGTAGTGATGGCATGTAAAAATGTAGTGATCACGAAATTGATGGCTGAATTTAGATCTTTGGAGATGCTGGCATACATCACCTTGCAAACTACTCTTGTAGGACGACCATAGTAGCCTCACCTTCTGTCTTTTGTATTTTTGATATAAAGATAACTTCAGTGGCCTGGAAGTTGTATTTCAGATCTTTAGAGGGGGGGGGGTGGACATGTTAGAGCAGCTAGCTGGTGAGCTAGACTGTGTCGTTGCATATCCTGAGGTGATTTAGACCTGGAGTTCAGTCTGATCTGTGTTTCAGAGTTGAAACAGAAGATTCCTTGCTTCTGTCTGCAGTGTACTCAACTACACTGTTGACCTTTGGTGTAGCTTTCCTTCACTCCTCACACACCTCGTCAGTTCCATCCAGCCATGGAGAGCCTAGTCAGATGCTGAGTCTGCATTTCACAGTAGGAGCGCAGGTATCAGCCAGTTCAGAGTGAGGCTGACCCTACCACTCAGAGATGGAGCCAGTGCGCAGGCATGACTCGCCTTCCATTTCACTCACCGTCGACTTGAGATTTGTACTATTTGTGCTTTGGCCGAGAGTGTCATCTTATGTCCCAGGATGGCTGTAGAAATTGGGTTTCCAGAGGACTCATTGTTCATGTATGTGAGAAACTTTAAAAAACATTGATGGACTTAGAAATTTCTCCCTTTCTGAATTTACCTTTAGGATATAGTCAGAGAAATACTAAATTTATGTACAGAAAATACTTATTGTAGTATTAACTTAAATAATTGACAGTTGGAAGCAATCAAATAGCCTGAAATAATGAGAGGATTAAGTAGACGAGTTACTGTATTTCTATAGCACAATGGAATATTAGATAGCAGTTAATGGTCATAGAGCTGACTCATGAAGTCATGGGAATCCATGGGTACACTGGCACATGGGAGTAGCATGTGTAAAAAATAGTGAATACAACATAAAGTGTGTCTGTATGTGTGGTGAATGTGCAGGAAGATACGACCTTTAAAGCCCAGCTGGAGCTTTGTGATGTGTTCATGGGAGGTTGGATCAGTGCTACTCAGTTTCTCACACTTCTAAATTTTCTAAGTTTCCCTCAATGAGTGCATACCACTTTTATATTTACAGGAGAAAGAATATGAATCTATCTATCTCTCTTTCTCTCTCTCTCTTTCTCTCTCTCTCTCTCTCTCTCTCTCTCTATCTATCTATAGAATAAGAAATTTTTTATTGGATATTTTATTTATTTACATTTCAGATGTCATCCCCTTTCCCCATTTCCCCTAGAAACCCTCTATCCCATCCCCCCTCCTCCTTTTTGCTTTTATACCATTTTAATTACATGCAAGTATTAAGGTCAGTTCTAGGTTGAGGAACTAGCAATACAATAGATGCAGATAGTCAAGTAACAAGCAAGACAATAAACACAAATAGTCAAAGAACAAGCAAGGGAATAAACAAAATTCTGTGAACATGCACGTGATCATTGTTTCTAAGGACTTATCAGGATGACCACAATATCTGAGCCTACTTCTCTGTCCTAGCCTAAAGTCATTTTCATGTTACTTCTTTGTTCTAGTCTAATATTTAGATTCCTGCCTGAAATTACTTCTTTGTTCTAGCCTAATGACAGATTTCTGCCTGAAGCCTACTTCCTTGTCCTTGGCCAATGTCATATTCCTGCCAAGCAGCCCATTTCCTTGTCCTTGGCCATGTCAGATTCTTGCCGAGCAGCCCCCAAAGCTCTCCGCCTCTCCCCCATTTTTATTTCACTAACAAGACTGAGCCTGTCTTAGATCATTCTGACAAGAATGCCTTCCTTACCCATCATGGAATATGCATTATCAAAAGCAATGCACTTCTCTCTTAGGTTGGTAAGGCTCTGTGCAAAATCTTACCCGTCTCTGGCTTGCCAGCCTGCTAATTTAATAACTCTTTCTGGGAGTAAAAACCTATTTTTTTTATTGCTAGAGAATAATTATGTAACTATTAACTTGTGCCTTTAGTCCTTATAGAAATGTCATTTTGTTTTAAGACAGGTATATAATCATGGGAAACTTCTTAGGAGAAAACATGCTGCTGTCAGCACTTCTGTGTGGGAGTTTGGGATATTTCTTGTGCTTTTCTATCATTCTCAAGGCCTCTACACATAGGACAGGACCACATCCTACAACTGCCTGTGCTTATGGAGAGCAGGGTGTGACTGCATAACCTGCTGTCTGTGCAGGGTCTGCTTGTACAGGGAGCCAGCTGTGGCAGACCAGGGCACAGCTGATTTCTATGACCCTGATTGCCATGTGGTAGGTTGTCCAGAAAGTCGAGCAGATGTATTTTTAGGCAATGCTGGTGAGTGGGCCGATAGACCCAGTCTGGCAATGAAAGTGACCCACTCAGAAAGCTAGGAAAGTACTAGCAAGGCAGTTTAAATTTTTAATATAAGTCCACATACTGATACCAAATCAAAAACTCCTTTACATTGGAGGTTTATCATAAATAAAATACACTCATCCAATTAAAAAATTGAAATATGAGTTTATACACCTGTGATGGTTTGTATATGCTTGGTCCAGGGAGTGGCACTCTTAGGAGGCCTTGTTGGAGTAGGTGTGTCACTGTGGGTGTGGGCTTAAGACCCTTACCCTAGCTGCCTGGAAGTCAATCTTCCACTTGCAGCCTTCAGATGAAGATGTAGAACTCTCAGCTCCTCCTGCACCGTACCTGCCTGGATGCTGCCATGCTTCTGCCTTGATGATAATGGGCTGAACCTCTGAACCTGTAAGCCAGCCCCACTTAAATGTTGTCCTTATGAGAGTTGTCTTGGTCATGGTGTCAGCTCCTAGCAGTAAAACTCTAACTAATATAACACCTATGCCTACACTTACCTAGTGTATGATCTATTGGATCTAATAGGAAAATAAAACAACAAAAATCCTTCCTCCCTAGCTGTGGGCGAGGCACTGATCATCTCCTTGGAGGGATTTCTCGGGCATGGCTATGTGCATGGAGGGACGGGCCATAGCCCTTTGAGGTCTGCATCCTCCCACTTCCAGGAATGCGTCATGGGCACCCAGTGTCCTCATGATGCTATTTTCTAAGTTGGAGGAGTAAACAAGCTCATCCCCAACTCTTTCCTTCCCGTTCCTCTGAGACCCAGAGTGCTAATTATTGAGAAATGGTAATTGTACCAGTGAATCTGTGGTGGGAATTGAGTCGGAACACCATCGCCTGTCCTCCCCCAGTAGGAACCCTTTTAAGCCCCAGCTCATCCTCCTCCTGAATCTTGTCAGCACTGCAGAACTCTGTTCTGCTTTCAGAGGCATGGTAATGAGATACTCTGCCCTGAGATCTGCAGGAGTCAAGGTCGCCCTCCCTGCAGTCTGCTTGGTTTGGGGAGTTCTTTATTGTGAGCCATGAAGATCTCAGCGGCTGCAGATATATTTAGCAAAAATGGCACCCGTGAGTGCCTAAGCACCACATTTCCTGAAGTATCCATCCATAGAGCACTTCGTCTAGTCCCAAGTCGTCAAGGTGGCCTTTGGAGTGCTGGGCTAAAACTGCCCACAGGGCAGTCCACAAGTCCTGCCGCTGGTCTGCCTCTGTCCGTGTGCTGCTTGCTCATCCCTTCCTAAAGGGACAGGCTCCAGAAGACCATACTGCATCAGAGGGAGCCTCAGTCCTACCCTGCCATGACGTGAACACAAAGCCCATGGAAGACCTTAGCTGGGTCACTGAAAACATGCAAATAAACAAAGGAATATTAGTTGTACGGTGGTGTGGTGTGGTAGAGTGTGGGGCTAGAGACCAGAGCAGGGGGAATCTGGTGTTAGGTTGGAACTTCAAAGGGTCTTGAAGAAATCCCCGTTGTTAGCAGGTGGAACATAGAGGACACAGCTATATCCAGAGGAGCGTCTACTCTTGGTGCTTGGGCTGGTTGGAATACTGCAGTATGC